TTTTTTGTTTTTTTTTAACCCGAAACATGTCAGTGCACACTTACAAATCTCAGTTTGGGAATAATTCCCCAAAGCTCAACTGAGGGCCAATACCCTGATACCCTCATATGTTACAGAGTACTATGGATGTCTGAACTGGTTGATTAGCTCTTAAATTTACGCATGCCATCGCCCTGAGCTCAAGCATGGGGGTTAGGGTTTGTCTGAATGCTTATACTGTTCGTTTTAGGAATGCCTGCTTGTTTGTTTATGGCAGTGCTCAGTTCACTGAAACCCCCGCCTCTGGGTCTGCAATACTACTGCTGCTCTACTCGTCATTTAGTCTTTTATCAGCTAATGCCTTTGATTTGATGTGACAGGACGCTTGCCGAGGGTGTATTCAGTGGGTTCGGGCGTTCCAAACATTCAAACACGATAAACTAAATTATAGAGAAATCATCTTTTTGAGAAACACGATTGCATTTTTTTCTTTAAATTTTCTAAACATTGGGGATAAATCAGTCCGCTTGGTGGCAGAGCCAGCAGTGCAGAAAGCTCAAGAGGACAATTTCCATGATAAGCTGAGTACTACAGTCACATGTGTCTGTTTACGTCCAAATATACTTTCCTGGACACAAATGGCAATAATGATGTGGCCAGCATAGTGAGGATAGGTGTACATTTGCAGTGAGTCACATCTGTTTTCTCTTTGAGAAACTTGTGTATATATTTATATATGAGTATGTTTTTGTTATGCATCTGAGTGTCTTTAAGACAGACAGCACTTCAGTGTGAGCATGTGTGCATATATGCGCTTGTACAAGTGTCTGCATCTCAAAGAGTGTATGTATTTGTACATAGGATACTGAAGGGGGGGTGGGGGGAGGGTCGTTGTTTAGGAGTGATTGCATGGAAATTATTCTACTGTATGTTTTTCAGTTCCATCTGATTGAACAAAGGGAAGAAAAGCTGTTTATACAACAATAGAGAGGAAACATTTAAATTATTTAAAGGCATTTCTCTGTTCTGAAAGTGACCGGCCGTGTGATGTCTGCATCCTACAGGCTGCTATTTTAACAGTTATGCTTCTGCCGTTTAGACTTGCTGTAACAGCTTATGAGACTGGCTACATTTTTGTTGTTCATCTCTTATGGCAGGCCTTGTCGTTTACTATGATGTCAACACATAACTAGGAAAGAGTTCCGAGGAGACACGAAGCAGAATAAAGTGCAATTGTTTTTGCATTTTGAGAATAAAGTCGACTCCCTTAATCCACAAACTAAAGGTAGGAAAGTGACCACTAGCTGCCAGAACGGATGTGATTTTTCTGGTCAAATTTTATTCTCAAAATGCAAAACTTTTGCTGAAACACTTTGATAAATAACACTTTCTAAATAATTTGAGATAAATTTGTTTGGCAGGAATGCCAGCGACAGGTCAGGAGACTTGAAAAGCTTACTGGATGTATGGTAATATAGATAAATATAGAACATTAGGCTCCAAAATGATACTTAAGCAGCTGTCAGCAAAGCATACACACCTCATCAGCTCAGTGAATTGTGGCCCTATTGTATTCTGTAAATCAGTCGTTGATGAGCTTGTTAATGACGCATGTGTCCCAGGCTAATAGTGTTTCCACAAGGATAGTCTTAGATGACAGAACTTTTGGGGGGGAGGGGTTTCCCCCAAAGTCGTGTAGTTTAGTTGAATATCACCCTGCATAAAAGGCCAGTTTTTAGTTTTTTCCACAAGCGTTTTAATCCATTGGAAGATGCAGAAAGTCAAGGTACTGTATGTCTGCTGTGATTGTGCCATGTTGCTGCTCAGAATCGCATTTTCAAATTTAGAAATAAAGAATGTACATTGCCATAAAGCTGGAGATGACCCATGTGCTGTCTTTTTTATTTATTTCGTTTCATTTCAAAGATGACCATGTTCCTGATAAAGCAGCAAATATAACAAATTATAAACAATCTGCACTTGTCAGTCTGATCCTGAGTCACAAAAGCAAGCAGCCACTATTGAGCACTTGCATGGCCTAAATTAATGTACTGGCACCGGCTGAGAGTCACAAAGACAATCAATAGATGTTAATTGTTTATCTGACATCGGGCTACAGAAAGCAGTGTGCTTCTGTATTCACATGTCGGTACGACAAAGAAATCCAGTAGCTCAAAGGAGTTTATTCCCCAGTGTACCGCGGAGCTCTCTTCTCTATGAAGGCTGCCATACCCTCTTGTCGGTCCCGTGTGGGGATGACCTATAAAGAGAGGACAAGTAAATGATGATTTAAGTGGAGCGAGCATCAGAAGGTCTGTGTCAAAGCTAGACCCAACTAGAATTTAATTTATAACAGCATCAGCTATGTGTTGGGTTGCCTTAGAATTTAGCTCAAAAGAAAATTCCTGAACCACAACAATTATGCCAAATTAAAACTAGTAAGTGTTTCGGAAACCATAAACAAGAAGTGGAAGACTTACTCGAGCATAACACATCCTCTCTATCGCCATTGCTGAGCTGATATCAACCTGGAAGAGAGAACAGTCACTAAATTCACTGATGTAAAGACCTTTAAAGAAGATCTGGGATTCATAATGTACCTCCAAGCCTCTGTTCATTGCCTCTTTAGCCATCCGCACTGCAATAGGAGCCTGAGCAACAGAAACAAAAAGGGTTAGATGCCGATGGTATTATCTCCTTCCATCCTAATCAGGTGCCCAAACCACTAGAGGTGGGAATCACCATACATCCCACGATACGATATTATCACAATACTTTTTTTTTTCTTGCCTGTCCCGTTTGGCTCTTTTGCCATCAGAATTATTGTCTAAAGGCGAAGAAAGATGCCCAACGGATTTACTTTACCAAATTGACCATCCCAGCCTTGCCGTACTGGTCTATTTGATTCACCTTTTATTGTTTATTTTATTTTCACTTGCTGAATACGGGACAGACTTGACTGGGGGAAAGAAAAGGGAGAAAGAAAGAGGGAAAGAAAAACAGCTGAGAAGAGGGACGGGGGAGAAGGGCAAAAAACTAAAACCAACAGAATAAGCAGAAAAAAAAAATACATATATCGATCACCTGTTGAGAAAGAAAAAAGAAAACAAGCAGAAGAAAATGAGAGTAATAGAATAAACAACATCACAATGACATATGGGAATATGACAGTAAATACTAAATATTAAACATTATTGTGCAGCACGTAAGATCGACAGCACACAGTGTGCTTTGAGGTAGGAGCCAAAAAGGGTTTAGTTTGTTATTATCACAATACTTAACGCACGATACGATATTATTGCAATTTTTTAAAATATTTTGCGATATTCAGATTCTGTACATAAAGGTAAACTTTATCAATATTCATTTTATCTAATATCAAAGTCTCGCACTCAGTCTTTCTCTCATTTCAGTTTTATTGTTGACAAACTGAACGGTTTGTATTACAGTCTATTCCAACTTAACTGAACGCAACCATCTGGTACATTTATAGCTATTCTGAACTATGCAATTTATGAAAACTATGCCGCCCATTCAGCAACTGAAGAATTTGAAAGTAAATTAAAACAAAATATAATTTTACATTTAATAAAAAAGTTTTAAACTTAATTAAAATAAAACATGTCTTAAATTAAAATAAGTAAATTGTCATGTTTATTGCTGCCAAAAAAAAGTTAAACACATTTGGACAGTGAAGGAATGTCAGGATTCTGATCAACATGCTCTGAAGTCAGAGCACAAAAACCTTTTTGTAACAAAATATCAATTTCTGCTGTCCCTGTATCGATACATTATTAGCAAACAAAATATCACGATACTACACAGTATCGATTTTTTCCCCCACCCCTACAAACCACCTGGATTGGCTCTACTTTAAATATAGGACCTTTGGAATATAAACAATGATAGACACAAAATGCTCCCCTTCCTTTACGTTTTTGTCTCTGATACTTAGCTACTTTATTTCACTCTACCACTGACGTCCCTTTATGTTGTTGTTTATTCTATTTTTTGTTCAAAAATTAAAGTTTGAGAGAGAGAATCAAAAATCCAAAAATATTAAACTGTTGATCAATCAATGTGAGCAATGCATTTCTACAGAAATTTAACCGGAGGAACTCTTTACAGTTTAATCACATGCAAGCAGCAGTACATTTGTCTTAGAAATTCCAGGAAAACAAAAGTGCCAAAATAAAGATCTACACCCTCTTATTATTTCCTCTGTGCTCCCTCACTTTGATTCAGTGCGAGATCCTGTTAATCAATCGATCCGTGCTAAGTCGAGCATAAATGTGTTGGAAAATGTGAGTGTACGGTGCTATTTGTGGTCCATTTCTCCACTTGACTGCCACTCTAACCCCACTGACTGTGGGCATCTGAACTGGAGTGAAAGATATATGGAACGACAGAGGCCTGGAGAGAGGGACAAGCAGAGGGAGATGGTGAGAGGGAAGGTGGGAAGAGGAAATTAAAAACAGGACGGAAGAAAGGAAAAAAGAAATGCATTGTTTTTGTTTCTTCCCCCTCCACTGCATCCAGAGAAAGGGGAAAGGGAGCAGATCCCCCTGCCTGAAGGAGGAGACATGCAGCAGTATCAGAGCTGTAGCGGCATGAAAAGTGTGTTTGTACTCTAACCTGGGGCAGTATCTCCCTGGCCAGGCTGAGTGCCTCTCTGTAGGCAGCGTCTCCTGTCTGGTTCTGTTCTACTACTCTGTTTATGAGCCCCATTTCCAGAGCTGTCTGCCCTCCCACACGCCTGCCTGATAACAGACAAGGAGAGACAGTGACACACAAAATCCTTGCTCACTGATGAGCATTCAGTGCCACTAAAATCCACATCAATATTTCTGAATTACTACCTGTGAAAATGAGCTCTTTGGCCAGAGTGACACCGATCATCCGTGGCAGACGCTGACTGCCCCCTGCAGGACAAACCACCTCAAGGTCAACTTATCACAGCTGCTTTATCTCTATTTACATACAGTCAAGTGCAGTCCAGGGTCGTT